AACGAGAATAGGAAAAAAAAAGAACAAAATTACGAACGATTTGGAGGTTACGAAAGCAGTTTTTTTCCACCTCATTTGGTAATCCAGGAATAATTATCACATATTTACACGGTAATTAGTATTGAATGGATTAATTAAATAGTCCAAAGTGGCAGGATGATGTGGCAGATGTGGGTGAAGTTTGGGGGAAGGGGGTTCTAGCTAGCACAAGTGTTTACAAGCATAGTGGGTTATGTTTTACGAGGTGTGTGTTATGACGGTCGGGGGTAGGTATTGGTAGTGAATCTATATTACACATGATTCGGGTTGATTCAGGCAATAAATCCCTTATTAGTCTTTAGATATATATTAATGGTGTGGTATCGAGTGGTATTATCTATGTACCGTAAATGACTCTGGTATGCGTGTTAAGGTTTATGAGGAAGTGGAAGTGTGTGGGTGTCTAGGGGGAGGGGAGAAGGGAGTATGTATGTATGTATGTATGTGTGTGTGTGTGTGTTTCTTACTCATTGTCTTGGTTCATTCTTGTCATCGGTTTCCACACTTGAGTCTTGCATCATTCTCTTTGTTATTTCTCTTTCTTTTCTCTTTTTTTTGTGGGGTATTCTTGTCTTTCTTGATATTTTGTTTTGTTTTATGAAATGCCAAAGATGTTTCGTCCTTTGTATTCTGGTTTGTGTTTTTTTTTTATCTCGCCTCACACAACTGACAGCCATTATCTTCACTGTTTTCTACACCACCATCACCGTTACTTATAGCATCACCATTCCTCTTCGCCTTCACTACCACACTACCAGTTCTACTCCTACCTCACTCCTAATTCCACCAGCATCACCACATCCAACTCATCCCTACTCCACTACCACCATCCACCACACCCTTTCTCCAACATCATTACCACCACTGCCACCACTAATACTCCCATCCACCCTCACGACCACTCCATCACCATTACTATCTCCATTCTACCACCACCACCACCATCATCACTCCCACTCTCCCTTACGCCCATACCACCATCATCACCACCATCATCATCACCAACACCCGCACTAACCACGTACCATAACACAGTACATCTCTCGCCAGCGAACAATCTACCACATTCCTATCCCTGTATAAATTAACACGGTCTTCCATACACCCCACTACCTCCTCCTTCGGCACACACACACACACACAGACGAGAGTTTCCTATAAGCATCCGGGGCTTTACTAGTAAGCGCTGTCTTTCCCTCACACACTGAAATGAAGTGGTAGTTTGTGAATGCTACTCTGAACAAGTCGTAATTCAAGAAGCTTTTCCTTGTGTCTCAGGAATTCTGCGTTTAGCTAAGTGATGTGTGTTTAAGACGCAAATGGTACTAGGGAATGGTATGTCGAGTTTTTTTTTGTGTGTGTGTTTTTTTAATGGTGAAGGGATAATAGGATGCATTAATGGTGATGGAGGTGGAGGGAGGTGAGGGGGAGGGAGGTGATAGGGGGGAGGGGGATGGGGATGAGGGGAGAATGGGGAGGGAATGTTTGTTTATATTAGGTGAGGATGGGGATGAAAGGGGTTTATATACAGTATAGGAAGTTGGGTGATGGTGTATGGGTAATGGACTTTTTTGTTATGGGACTACGTAGTAGTTAGGTGTGGAGGTCGTCTGTCTGTGTGTTAGGATGAGGGAAGGAGAAGGCTGTGAATGGCTATTCACACATTAGCTACTAGACAGTATCAATTGCCTTAAGGCCTTGAATTATCTACCTAACCAATGAAATCAACCTTACCAATGAAATCAACCTTACCAATGAAATCAACCTTAGCCATAAAAGTCCACTGTGATTGGTTATTTTTAATTATGTTACATTGACAAAGTTTACTGTCAGTTTACGTAGTCAGCTGACCGCGTCCTGTCAGCTCTAAACTGTGTGCTCTTAACCACAGTCTTCCTAGAATGTATTGTTATATCTAGTCATCTGTGTATCACTTTAGGTATAACAACACAGTGATAAGTTTAGTGCCTCTGTTACAATAGATTATTTTTTATTTGATAGACGAATTTACGTAACTTTTCACTTAAATTAATATTGTTAATGTAAGTTTATTGTCTTATAAGTTATCGCTGAGTGTAAACGCTCGATAAGATTTCCAAAACTTTATCTGAAACATGAAGGTTTTTACCAGTTTCACCATTATATCTCTTATTGTCGTGGTTCTCCTTATCATATGCAGCGTTTGTGATTATAAATGAATACCTAGGAAGTCTAAGGAACCTTTTCCTCTTATCTAGAACACCAAATCAAAAAATAACAGGTCATATCCAGTGTGTTTATGCCTTGGTTGTGAATAGGTGGGAAAAACATCAACAAAGATATATATATAAATACCCAATAAAGGTGCATTTTTAACCTCGTTTTGTCGTGGGTTAAAAATGAACCGTAAGAAAGGCTCGTTTTGGATCCCTTCATCGATATATAAATTCCTTCTTATCCTCCTGGACAAAAAGATCCTCCGAAGCTTCTTGCTCACTAGCCCAAAAAACAACAAGAGAATGGGATATGTAAGATGATCAGGGAATTTTGTGCTGTAAATAAAACACGGGTCAGTGGGCCATTCTTCCTGCAGTTTTGAATATGGTAGTCAAGTTTACGGCGGCAACATTTAAGGTCCATTACGGGTGTTGCTGACTTGCAGGGGGTGGGGGGGGTTGAAACACGGGGGTGGAGGATGGGAGGGGGAGGAAGGTGAGAAACACTAGGGATGGAAGGGGGCGGGAGTCTTATTCGTCTGGGGGAAGGGTGGGGAGATGAGGGGGTGTGCTTCTTATGGTTCAATGTTTAAATATAAGAATATTCCCAAATTTATCTTTTTTATATGAATGTTTAATGTTTATATCCCTAATGCTTTTTTGTGTTTTTATGTTTTAAGAATGTTTAGTGTTTGTATTGACAAATATTCAGTGTTTATTAATAGTAATCAATCTTTGTTTTTAACCCTCTATTGCTTGTCTTTAATAACATCAAATGTTTATGTGTAATAATATTCACTGTTTATTTCTAGGAGTATTTATTGTTTATTTCTAGGAGTATTTATTGTTTATTTCTAAGATTATTTAAATTATTACTAACGCGAAATGTGACAGTTCTAAATATCATGACTCGCGTGAATAAGAATTAGAAAGTTCCATCCACTTAAGTCAATCGGAACTGAAATTTACCCGAAAAACTCTTGAACACCTCGGCTATTATAAATATACTTAAAGCAACTGAGTGTCAACAGGCCCTTACAACTATAGACGCCAAAAGTATAAGCAATTAGTGCACGAATCTCTCCCAAACACCTTATAGATTGACTGTTAAGTGACGTTTTCAAATTGAGCATCAATAGCACCTGTTAGTACTTAATTACTGTTAATTAAGAAAAAATATTGACACGTACGAATCCACTTCGCACAGCCACCGAGTAAGAGAAATGGTGACTGCTCAGGTAATTACCCAGGTGTTGAGCTAAATAGTCACATTACTCAAACGCCCGCCAGGTAATTTTTCCATCTTTACAAGAAACCTGACAGTATGTTGTGGATCTGAGTACCAGCCACCTGGCCGTCCAAGTGGACTGAGAAAGTGAACGATATATAAATAATAAATAAAATATTTGACATGATGAGAAAAAAAACAAATTCATTTGGATTAATTCAGTAACTCAGTGATTATAGAGAGGACGAGAGGTGTAATTAATCTCATTCCTTACCAAAGTTGTAGTTATTAACCTACTAAGCTATAATTATTGAGAGACATATCATCAAAACTAGATTAATGTTAAGACACATCTCCGAGTGTCTACAAAACCGTGTTGGTCTATCAGATCCACATACCTCTCCTTACGACGGATAAATCTATTAATCACTTCTTAATCTCACGGTTCATCTCTTGTATCGGTGTCCCTCTTTCCTATTTCTTCCTCCCGTCTTTATCTATATCCTTTCTTCCCGATCTCTCCGCATTAATATTTATTCGGCTAGGAGGAGCACGGGTACAAAACCTTGCAGAGACAACCCCGTGTGATCAAGTCTTTAAACAGGGTGCGTGTTGGCCTTATCACTGCCGCGGCAAAAACTCGCCAACAGTCAAGGGGTCAAGTCTGGGGAGGTACCAAGTTTGAAGGCAATATCTCAAAGACAGTCTAATTAATGCTTTTATGATGGTCTCATGGTTTAGGCCTCATCTTGATAAAACAAAATATTATACGCTTCCAGAAATAACTTAAAAAATCTGATCTAAAATTTTGAAGGTCAAAAACTCAATCACGTGAATGACCTCTTAACTTGTGACCTTGACCTCATGATCGGTCTTAAAACTAACGCTCTTCTAGGGATAACCTCTCCATCCTCCTCCACCTCACTAATTTATAATCGGACAGTTGAAAGCGATAGTTCAAAGCGTGCGGTAGTTCACAGGAAGTTTCACGACATGAATTATGCTATAATTTACACCGAAAACATCTCTAGTTGAAAGATAAAATCTAATCTGAAAGTTTCATGGCAAGTAGCATGGAGGTGACTGACTGACCTTTGACCCAGTATCCTTGACCTTTCATTGAACTCGACTTAACATGAGGGAAACATTCCAACAAAGAATACAGCTTATCTGGTGGAGCCTAGATACCTTTACTCTCCTACTTTCCTTAAAATTTCCCCCCTCATTTACCTTATATAAATCCAAATACCTCCAGAACACTTCCAACCCCCCTCCTGCCCCCACCCTCCCACCCAAGCAATAGCCCTTCATCCTTTTCTACAGGCATCAAATCAAGGGATAAAATTGCTTTATCTCAAATCACATGTACCAAAAAATAGTAATAATAATAATAATCCTAAAATACTAACACACTTGGAGAATATTTTGTTTCGTAAAAGTGTAAAATAAATTATTATAACTTATGGGGCACACCATCTCCAAGTGGACCATAGGTATACAGTGAATCTTTGTGGTTGACGAGGTCGTATATGTTGCAGGTCTCTGGGAGTCAGGGGCGTCATCTTCAGGTAGGAGTCTTGCATCGTCCCTCAACCACGTGAGTGTTGTTGGTGGTGGGGCGTTGGTAGTGGGTGGTGGTGGTGGTAGGTGGTGGTGAGTATTGGTGGGTGATGGTGGTGGTGGGTAGTGGTGGTGGGTGATGTGTGTTAGTGGTGGGTGGTGGTGGGTGTTGGTGGTGGTAGATGGTGATGGTGGGGTGATGGTAGTGGGTGATGGTGGTAGGTGGTGGTGGTAGGTGGTGGTGGGTGATGGAGATGGTGGGGGGTGAACGATGGTGGTGGGTAGTGGAGGGTGATGGTGATGGGTGGCGATGATGGTGGTGGTTGGGTGTGGGTAGTGCATGGTGGTAATGATTGGTGGTGGTGGGTGTTATTGATGGTGGTGGGTGTTGGTGATGGTAGTGAGGCGTTGGAGATGATGGGTGGTTGTGTTAATGGTAATGGGTGTTGGTAGTGGTGGTGATAGTAGTGGGTGTTGGCTATAGTGGGTGGTGCTAGTAGGCATTAGTGGTGGTGATAGTGGGTGGTGGTGGTAGTAGTGAGAGGTGGTGGTGGTGGTGGTGGGGCTCTGGTAGTGACAAGTGGTAGTAGTAGGTGTTGGTGATAGTGGTGGGTGGTGGAGGTGAAAGTAATGGGTATTGCTTGTGGTGGGGAATAGGTGATGGGTGTTGGTGCTGGTTTTAGCAGTGGAGAGGCAGTGGAATAGGGTGTTGGTGGCAGCATTGAAAGTTGGAAATATAAAGTCTTGTCACAGGTGGGTGTACTGCAGGTGTTGGCAGTGACAGCTAATGATACCTTAGTGTCAAAAAAGTGATGTAGTTCTTTCGCTCTGCTGGTGATTGACGTTTGTGGTGGTGGATGGCAAGTGTTGGTATTGCTGGGTGGTAGTTGGTGGTGACGCTGAGTTATGATGATGGGTGTTTGTAGTCGGTAGTGACAATAGCGGTTTGTTGCGTGATGGATGGTGGGTGGCGTGATATGCGTGGGTAGTGGTGGTGGTGGGGGGTAGGGTGGTGTACGTAGGAGGGGGTTCTTGCACGTCATTACTGCTGGTAGTTGGTGATATTTAGGAGATGAGCTTAGATACATGCAGACAGACACACAAACACACACACCAACGTTCATACGGAACCAATGACTCCCAAGATAGGAAACTCCCGCTGTGTGTAGGGAAGCTCAAGGTGGCGTTGAGGAGAGGGGGTAGGGGGGATGACGTGAGTGGTGCCAATTTGGGGTGGCAGGAGTGGCTGGTGATGTTAGGTACACGACGAGAGAGTGACGTAACTAACTTTGTTTTTTGTTTTTTATGTAAGGTAAAAAAAAAAGCAACTTTGGAGAACACCTTCCTCCTCCTTTCCCCCCCCCTACCCACCCCCTTCCTCCTCCTGTTCCTCCCTTTCCCTTCCTCCTCCCCTCCCTCTCCTTCCTCCTCCTTTTTACCTGTCCCGCCGTCTCCTAATTATCCCAGTTGTAGAGGGGGAACAAATATCATTAATACACTATAATACGGGGTAGTTGTTAGTAGCCCTCACCCCCCCTCCCCCTTTGGTTGGCTTGGTGTGATAAGTACGTTGTTAGGTCGTTGAGTGACACATTAATCACCCTAAACTACCCAAGTACACGAATAGCGCCCGTCGTACGTCAGCTGGGGCTAATTTGGCATGAGCAGGAAGGTACCTCACGCCTCTTTACTCACAGACCACAGGGCGCCCACACTCACTACCACACAACACTACCCTCGCCCACACAATAACGCACAACGCCACCCATGCGATAGAACCCCCCACGGAGACTAGGACACAAAACAACAGAAACTGGAATACTAAACAACAGAGACCAATAACAGACTGGAACACCAACAGACTGGACCACCAACAGACTGGAACACCAATAGACTGGAACATTAACAACAGAGACTCAGATATGAACAGAGACTTACAGGTCGGTGGTGGGCAGGTAGTTGAAGTTACCTGTGTCACAATGAATTATAAAGACGATGAAAATAAATTATCTAAATCGCAGGAAGTGTAAATAAATCTGCAAGTAAAATAGAATAGAAATGAATCGTAAAAAGTTATATATTTACAGAGATTTACATTTCACTATATAAATCATTACTGTATATCTATTAGTAATTGTTATTCATTTGTAAATAATGATAGAACTTTGGTAATGAGTATAAACAAGTTATAAACACAGTTGAAAAAAAAATTTAATATAATCTATTTTTTCTCTATTTTTATGGTTCTATAGGAATGATACATATGTGAAACTAACATCACATATACACCAGTTAACACAATCGCTTCCACATGCCATCATGATAACATGTGGCCACAACACAGGACACAGTAAATTAGGGAAGCATTGTAGAACGTAAACTTACTATCTCTTATGTGTTTACTCTGCGTCTTGGGATCTCGCTCTTCTCACTGGTTGGTCTTTTAACGAGACAACATTCCTGGCGAGAAAACTACGTGCACAGTGCACACTATTGCCTTGCCAACTCATCTTGCTGTAAAAAGTAAGAGTGCTTATGGTACCACGACCGAAGAAAGGGGTTTATTTTATCAATAAGTTTCTTTGCACGAAAACTCCTTGTCGAGATATTTAAGACCCATGGAAGTGCTGATATAAATAACGTCTCGACCTATAAGGCATAAGATATAGCCCTCGACTTCGTTTGGAAGATACAAATCATAACAGTTTTCATACCCACCCCCACCGCTACTCCCTCCCGTGTTTACATTCCAGCTCAGATCAGCTGACGAAACCAAAACAAACCCACGGGTGCCTCAGTCCATATCGATTGGTCGCCACTGTCGTCAATCGGGAATATGAAAAAGGATAAGACTCGCCATAGTGACTCCTGGCGACGGCGTTCTGAATAGCGAGGGTTCACTACACGTTCATTTAGTATTCCGACCATAAGTTGTTCCTCTCCACACACTCTCATGCATCATCTGCCAAGGTAGAACCACAAATCTGCTATCACCGTGTCCTCCTTTTTCAGGGCTCCCTCTTCCACCTCTCGCTTCCCCCTGCTCCAAGATGCGTCGTGACGTGTGTGTGTGTGTGTGTGTGTGTGTGTGTGTATGTGTGTGTGTGTGTGTGTGTGTGTGTGTGTAGGGGATGAAAAGGGATTGGAAGGAAATTGATGAATGGTATATGACGTTAGAATATAAGGAGGAATAAGAAGGAATGAATAGGAGGAGAGGGAGAGAGACGAGGACAAAAGAAGAAGGTACAAACATTTGGTGGGGAATCAGTAAATGTTTATCCTCAAATTTAGACAGTAGAATGAGTAGATAGGGAAAGTGGAGATGGAAAAGTTGATTACGATAAGAAATATGAAGAATAGAAGGAACGACAAAGGGATTAAGGATACGGAGATACAGTAACGAAAGAGGGATAAACACAAGGTAGGAGAACTATCAAACAGTTGAACGTCTGGCAACCCTAGTGTGTCATCACCACGTCTTGCTAGTTTATACTCAAAGACCTTCTTGTATAAGTGTGAGTCAGCTGATGACTTCATCCAAGCTATGTTTCATGGGAGTAATTCACACTTAGTCACCTTAACTTTCATCAACCCTGTCGTTCACGTCCACAGAATTTACCTGTATTACGTTATGGTAAATTGAAGTTATTTTATTAGGTATGTTTTACATACGTTACTCTGGATCTTTACATAATATTGTGCTCGTAAATTGAGAATGAATGGGGGAGGATAATCATACTTGAGTGGCAAGAAATTGTCTAGAACGTAGAAGGTGAGAGATGTATAAAGATAAGTAAACAAGAAACAAAGAGAAAATAAAATAAAAATAGGTTATATGAGAGGAGAAAAAGAAGATAAATTGAAAATAAAATGTAAGAAAAGGGGACATAAAATAGAAATAACAAATATATAGAAATTAAATAAAAAAAAAAGAAAAACAAAAGATAAGCGAGAGAAAGAGAGACAAACTAAAGAAACAAACAGACCTCTGGCCAGACTCAGAAACAGGCTGACAGATGTATTCTGACGATAGTTTACAGAGCCAGAAAATCGATATTGAACGTAGTGGATGGAAGGGTCACCCAGATAGAGGAGGAAAATGGGACAGAGAAGGGGGGGGGGGTAAAGGGAAAGATGATGAGGGAGAGAATGAATAGGATATATTTTTTATTATTCATGATATTAGAAGGGTTGCCGGATAGATCTTTTTTTTTTATTTACTTAATTATTTACTGCCTTTCTTGATATAAACGTCTTTTCCACTTCTGTTCCACTAATAAATGCATTTTACATTCCACTGCAATTCCTCCTGTTCCATTATTACCCTTCCCATCTCCCTCTCTCCTTTCTATCTCCCCTTCCCTTCCGTTCCGTTCCATATATAAACAGTCATGTTACCCATTCTATTACCCATGGTATTTAGTCTTTTCCTTCTATTCCACTACTACTTCCCCTTCCATTCGCTTCCTGCCTTTCATTACTACTCCTTTTAGCTTCCTTTCGCTACTACTATTACCTACTTGTATTGTCCTCTCCCACTTTCACTATTAACCGTTCCATCTCTCCTTTTCCTCCCACCTCCACCACCACCACTACTACTACCCTCTTCTTACCCCTTTCCACCTGCCTCTCACTTTAACTACTACTACTAATATCCCCATGCCATTCCCTCCCCTCCCTTCCGTCGCCTGCCCCTCTCCTCCCTTCCGTTCCTCCGACAAGCGCTTCTGTTGCCATAATTTTTATTGAAGTCCCAAGTTTGGTGCCTCGTGTCTGCCAGATGACTAGAATTTACCGCTATTAGGATGAACTAAATATGTGAAGACGCGTGTAACGGCGATAATACACGGTAAGGTCTGGCTCCCTCGTTCCTGAATGAGTTGTATGAGTCTAAGATGTGTATTTTGCGCCTTCATATGAATTTATGAACAGCTGTGATGGATTATACAACCGTGGGGTAACTCGAGCGAATATACAGTATATGTGCGTTTGACTGCATATGTGATGT